AGACCTGGGTGGTCTGGTACGTCGGCGCAGGGAAGACGCTGGAGAACCCGCCGCCGGTGAAGTTGACGGCCTTCTCGGGGATGCCCTGCGTCGACCCGACGGACGTCACGAACGGGCACGCCGCGGGGAAGACGGGCATGAAGCGGTTGTTGCTGCAGATGTCGGTCGTGTCGTGGTTGCCGCGCACACCGCCCTGCGACAGTTAGAATTGGGGAGAGCACTCGGAATGGGCACTCACGTCTCCGGACGCGAAGACGACGGAGATGCCCCGACTGCTCAGTGCCATGTAGCCGTTGCAGATTCGTCTGGTTGGTGGCTCTTCAGTCAGGTTGCATCGACCGCCATGACTCGACTCACGTTGCCAACGAGCCGCCGAACGAGGTTTCAGTGGATCCGTACGACGTGGTCATGACCGATGGAGGGTTCTTGACACCATCCAGGAATGTCGTGGTGTCGATCAAAGCAGTGGGGAATTCCACGGAATTGCCAACAGACAGGAAAGTGGCAGGGACGCCGGTCGCGATACCTAGCCCAAGATGAATACAAGGATAGAAGCGTAACTTGACACGCACCGATAGTGTACTCGACGTCCAAGTCAGCCTCGATACCAGCATCCGCGGAACTCTGGATATTAGCGCCTCCGTCAACGGTCTGAACGGCGAATGACGTCGAAGAAGACATGTCCTTGCGCAGGGTCTTCAAGAACGACTGCGAAGAGTGTTACTGCACCTGCCGCGGACAAGGACTATCTATGACTGTCACCCACCTGCAAATCCGCCGTCTGCGCCCACTGATCGATGTACCCCGTGATGAGTATCGAGTTGTTCTTCTGCGTGGCGGGAGCCGTCGGGATGCCGTACAGCGCTTGCAGGCACGCGGGCGTCATCACCCCGCTCGCAACACGGGTATTGCACGACGCCGGGATCGCGCGCTTCGCCTGGACCGGAAGGTCCAGCTGGATCACCGACGGCGCGAGCCTCGGCTGCGGCTCGACGAACGCGGTCGAGGGGTGGATGACGTCCACCACGCCGACGATCTCGTGCGGGAGCGACACGGACATCGTGCGCGTGATCGTGTCGGCGAGCTCGGGGTGCGAGAAGACCTCGAAGTTGGCGTCGAAGAGCTCGTTGGCTTGCGAGACGGGGAGCGTCGCGGTCACCCAATCGCCGTTGGGGGAGCTCCCTGTAATCTGCAGTCCCTGCGCTGCGGCAAAGGTATTGAATGCAGCAACGGTGTCTGCGGATGGCGCCATGTAGGACTTGACCTGAAGCAAGCAAGTTAACGCTTCTGTGATCTGGAATAACGACGCGAGAAACGAACGTCTTCCATCGACAGCCACTGCCGGTAGTTGTCGTTTCCGGGCGTCGAGACCTCCATGAGCTTGTTCTGAAGACCAGCAGGGTTGTTCTGGGCCAATGCAAAGCGCAGTTCCAGCTGGTCAGTAGCAGGCGCAGGTCCATGGCTGACGAATCCGACGGGCGTAGTCGTTCTGCTCTCATGCAACACCATAGGTCCCTTGGCAGCAGCCACAGCAGCAATCGCAGCGAGGACGGTCAACGCGCTGGAGAAAGACATCGAGGAGATATACGCGTCCAGAGGAGCCCGGGAAGAGCTGCTGGGGTGGGGCCTCGATGCGCCGCCGGGTGATTCTTATAGATGGGGACGCCGCGAGTTCTCGTACATCGCGTGACAAAGAAGGCGACGTCGACATGTGGGCCGCAGCCTGCACTTTGTGCTCGTGTGTGTTGCGGAAGCCCTCGAATCTGTTGTAGCACTTTGGACGCGCGGCGGAGACGACGAAGGGTTCTGTCCGTGCAGTACAGGCTTAAGCCTGTCAGCGGCCAGATTGAAGACGATCCTGACCGGATCATCACACCTGCCGAAATTCGCTGGCATGTGGTTGTTGTTGATACGATCAGTGGAATTCCTTGTTCGACAGTGGAAGCCCGCGATCATATGTGCCCATGACCTTCAAATTGTACTTCGACAGGACTCGACAATTCATAATGCGCTCAGAGAGATAGACGAGAAAATTACGAGCTAACGCGCCAATGTCGCGTCAAAAACGTATCTTCATCCGCGACGTCACGCCCAGCAGTCAGTCACCCGTGACATGTCGTGAGGACGAGACAGTTGCCATTGCTTAGTCTGATTGCTGCTGTCAGCAGGTGGGCTCGGCCATCTCGGGCCATCGTGATGGCAGACTGGCAGTATTGATGCTGTTTAAATCGACACCCCGCAGACGCCCAGGCTCCTGATCACATGAGGGGGCTGTAGCTAGACGCGGAGAGCAGGTATGGTCGCGAGCCGGCAATATTGCACCCAATTCCGGTATCGAATCTGTAGGTTCACCGCTCGAGAAGCAAAGATCGTTCATCTCATGTTGAACGAAGTCGGCCCTATCGATTGAATATATGCTCTCGATCCCGCATCTGCAACAGACCCTAAACGTGTATTGCGGGTCGGTATTTCTCATTTGGTGGAGATTGCAGCGAAGACGGGACCTCTGCTGACCAAGTCCCCCGAGAATATTCGCCCAACACTGCTGATTAGGGCAAGTTTCGGATACCAGTGTGATTTCTAGAATCGTCTCTTCGGACCCAACTCCCATTCAGCTGTAGAACGTGCAGGTGGGGCTCGAAAATCACTCGTTCACCCGTTGATAGGTGGGTGTTCTCGATTTCAATTCGTCTGGAGTCAGGGCATATCGGAGCGGGTCGGAGCACGGCGACGTGCTCTAGACCCAGATGCAGACTCGCCCGAGCAGGGTCTCCAAGAGCTTCACATTACGTACGATTCCAACGTGAAGCTGATTCAAAACTCTCCAGAGTTTACCATGGTCGCAAAGAGAGCGACCGAGTCTTCTGCTTAATTTCCCAGCAATTTCAGTGTCTCAGGACCGTATGAGTAACATGGACCGGACCGGGAGCCCAGAAACCTCGATAAATTGCCTACCTGGAACTCATCGCGAAATCCAGCATCTGGCTCAATGTTCAGCCATCCTCGTTCGGCGCAATTGAACATATTATCACCCGTCTCGTCGATCTCATAAGTAGCCTCACGTCGTGAGCCTTCACCTCGACGTAAGTAAAAAGTCGTTCATCACGTGACAAATGTTGAGTTCACTGGGTGATGGGAGCAGCCTCAATTTCACTGGCGGATCGGGTGAGCACGCCGTAAAAACGTTATCATTTCGAAGGCGGTAGCCTCGCAACACGGAAAACCCACGCCCTCGAGTCAACCCCGAGTAGATGGTAGTAGCTGGTACGCTCAAGGGACCGGCGCGCGCGCCGCGTCCTTCTCCTTGAGCAGCATCTTCTCCACGTTTGCCCCCAGAATCGCGCGATCCTCCAGGTTCATGAACGGGACGTTTGACGAGTAGCCGACCTCTGTGCAAATGAACCATCGCATCAGCGCGGTGGTCGTGGAGGTGGAGCAGGGGCCACATAAGGCAAGACGCACTCAAGCTGGGGTATTGCAGCGGAATCGTCTCGCTCCGCACGGGGAGCTTGCTCAGATCAAGCGGCCAAGAGGGCCCGATCCACGCGCTTCGGATTTGATGGTCTCTGCAGTCATCAGTCAGAACAGAAGGTGGATCAATGGCGACATCGGTAGCATGCGCTGGCGAAATCTTACGCGAGCTGCCAGGAGAGAACTGTGAGCGGGACTCCAACGCGGGATAGACGCTTACCTCTTCACGGGTCAGCGGGTGGACGAGGATGCTGGCGTCGCGCGTTCAGTCAGATACTAATACCTCGTGCACCGGGGTGCAGAGTGCTCACCTCAGCGGTCCGCGGTGGAGCGCCAAGTACGAGAACAGCGACGCGAACGTCTCGGAGGGCGCCCAGACCTCATACGAGCCTATCCGTGCCAAAAAGACAAAATAGACAAAAGAAAAAAGAACAAGATCCGGCAGGGTTGAGATTCTCAACGCGTTCGAGTTGGACATCGTGCTTACCGGCGGGGTGCGGGCCGATAGGATCGGTGTTAACGCGGAAGAGCGGCACGGCGATGAAGGCCCCGTCCCGGCGCAGCCGCAGCACAGCATCACGGAGCTCGAGAGCGTAGTGCTGTTCCTCCGCGTTGCCCTGATGGAAGTAGATATCTAGCAGCCCCGATGTGGGTGGTGTGTTCAGATTCGACGCAGGAAGCCCATCGATCGGGGGAGGGCGGGCTCACGGAAATGCCACTCTCTGTGCGAGTGGTGTGGTGAGTGGTGCGGATGAACGGCAGAGGATGGGATGGAGCTGAACTTGATTTCGTTCTGGAGGACGCTCTTGAGATCGGTGGGCGGCTTTTTGGACATGGTCGTTCGGGTCAAAGACGGGTTGACAGGTGATCGGACCGATCACGGTCTAGTCACGTCACTTGGGTGCTGTCAAACGAGGGCTTATTCCGAACTTCCTCGAGCTTGCTTAGCTCAAGAGTACTGAACAATAGGAACACTGACTTCTAGGCCCCTTTATACCTCACTAGAAGGCTTTCTGCTCAAGCTGCACGCTGCCACTTCGAGTCATGTGGGGACTGCACTGCCGCCTACCATGACAGACAGCATTTTTTGCTTACCCGTCTTGGAGTATTAACATCTTCCCGTTCCTGAACTGTGTTGTGGCTCTACGTAAGCAGCTCCGATCTTTAAGCCCAAGGGCGCTATCTGCCGCCCTCTGACTCTGACGTGACTGATTGTTGGACGCGCAACTAAGTAATTGGCTGGCCGCGTATAGCGTATTGGATTTCGGATAGGATGGGGTGATAGCCCAACTCACCCTCCGCGATGCAGTGATAGGCACTCGTAAGCACAACCCCGCTTTTCCTCGTCCAAAACGCTTTAAAGTCCCCGCACGAAGCTGCATCTCGCTCAATGCGATATCCCATCTTCGTACTACTCGTCGCACTGACGTCTGCGGCTACAGGCGCGGTTGCGCGTCCTGTCCGGCAGTAAGCCCTGCCACATATCACGCATCTCTTTCTCCCATCTGATCATTTCAAACAAAACGCAGCCGATGGCGGACGAGGAGGAGATCTCGTGCGAGCGCAAGCGCCGGGTATGTACTCGATTGAGAACTCCCATCTGGCCTTGGCTTGGCTTGACCTGTTCACCAGGACGTCTCCGTGGACAGCGTGAACCAAGGATGGACGGTTGATGGGGACAACAACGGTAAGCGCGCCGTTCGGCACCGGCACCGAGTCGCAGTCACTTATGACCGTAGGTTGGAGCGTGACGGGGACAACTACGGCTGGACAATCAACGGCGGAGGAGTCGTCGTGTCTGGCGGCGGAGACGGAGGCGGAGGTGGCGGCGACGGCGGAGGGTTTGGAGGCGGCGACGGCGGAGGTGATGGCGGGGGTGATGGGGGAGGTGGCGGCGGAGGGTGGCGGCTGCTAGTAACATGGCTCGGGCCTCATTCCCCTGGAAATTTCTCGCGAGTGGTGAACTTCCTTTCACGTCTCTGAGGCTATCACCCAGAATCTTGCTGTAACGCATCCGCAGAGAGATATGAATCATCCGAGATTGACTGATTCGCCAAGCTGTCGCCGACCGCACTAAATTTCTTGAGTACGAGGGTACCGCTGTTCTATGCGTACTTAATCCGCGTCCTGGTCCACTCTCTCCAGGTACTGCGCTCAATTTCCTGAACACCCCCGTCTCAAATGCAGTTCACACGTCTCCTCGCTCTGGCAGCCCCAGTCGCACTCGGACTCGCTGCCGCAGTGGTAAGTACTTGACCCGCAGCCCGCGCTATGCACGATAACCCTCCCAAATTGCAGCCGCGCCAGAACACGGAGAACATAAGGTATGCCGCATGAGGATCCAGGGACCCTTAGTAAGCAGTGCGTGACAGTCACGTGACGTTCAAATTCACAGTCCGAAAAACGTAGCCCTTCTTTCGGTGTCATTATGGACATGTATGCACCCAATGTGATCCAAAATGGGTGTCCGAAGATAATTGAATTTCTTAAGGCTACTATGACTATAGAAGGGGATCTCAACGCCGGCAGCACCACCACTTCCTAATTGGGACGTCACGTGAATGGTCAAATCTTCCGACCCAAAATTTAAGATGCTCAGTTCAGTTGGAAATCACTTCTACAATAAAAGAAAACTTTTGATGCAGAATTCTTGAACCTCACATCACGCTCTCCAGGAGGCAAAATAAAAAATTCTACTCACATAGCAGGTGTGCTAAAGGCCTCCAGAAACACCCCATGTGAGTACTTTAGCTATATTCCCTCCGTGGCCGTCGTCATCTTCCGTCGCTGTTTGTCACAGTGTGACGCTTACAAAGGGTCCCTGGATCCTAATGCGGCATACCTTAGCCTCCACGAAAGAGAGAACGGTGAGCATTGACCGGCCGACCGGTCGACTCTCTTTCAATTACTCACGTCGTCCGGCAGATCGAAGCCCGGCTACTTGCTGTACGCGGATGATGACTCATTCATTATTCGTGCTGCACTTCTCACCGTCTTCTCCTCAAAGGTCGATGGATACAACAGCGGATGGTCTATCGAGGGGAACAACGACGGTCGGTTTTCTTGTTTTGAACCTCCGCGCCCATTCACTCAGGTGTCTTGGAATAAAAATAGGCTGGGTCGTGGAAGGGAACAACAACGGCTGGTCTATCGGCCGCAAATAGATACTGAGGGAATACATCATTGAAACTTTCCGAATGACTGGTATAATCAATGCATGAGATCACAATGTCAAACGGGGAGAGATTCTCCGTTCGCACAATACGACTCGATGCCTTGCTGGCATCATGGACTGCATCGAACGTGTGGAGCCGATCAGAATGCCAAAATCTTCGTCATCTCATTCATCGCAGACTGAGGCACGAGAAAATATAAATCAGTCGTGTTGAAGCGAACAACGAACACCGGCTGGTTGTCCTTCGAGCCACCCGCCAACAGCCCCTATCTGCCTTTGAACGCACAGCCACCTGTCGTGAATTCGATCAGAAGGATTACTCAATTGGCCACGAGGCGTCGAGTTTGGGAATATGCCAACTTAGCACAGGATAAGCAATAGACTTGCCGCTATTCGCGCGCCGCGGACATGCTTTCACGCCCCGGTTTTCGCCAGCGTTACACTGCAGCATATCCGGCCCTGACTAATATCTTGTTTCCCTCCTGCGTCGTCTAGCCGGCCGCCATCATCTCTATACCGGGTTGTTCGTGGAGACGACGTCATCTGCGCGTAACTAGGGGACTGGGGAGATTTCACAGCAGAGCCCATCGATACATAACCGGACGAGGGAACATTTTGCTCGTTGTCTTCCCCTCCTACAGCCATGGCCATGACCCGGCCCACCGCGCAACTGCGACTACGAGCCGCTCCGCGCGTCCGTTTTGGACGTATTCGAGCAGCTGGGCGCTTTCGACGACGACAGCGGCATCGTGGAGTGGATCTTTCCAGAGGTGCGGGATGAGAAGGCGTCGCGGCCGAGGAGGCGGGTCAAGCTGACCGAGGTGTTCGACGACGACGACAACGACGAGATGGCGTCGGCTGCGGCGAGCGACCCACCCCGGCAATCCCGCACGTCGCGTTTCCTGAAAGGAATCCGGTCGCGGTCGAAGTCGGGCACCAGGAAGGATGTGAAGGAGAAGATAAAGATAAGGGGAAACCATCAGCACCGAAGCACAAATCCGCGAAGAAGTCGAAATCTTCGCCGAACCTACGCGAAGAAGGGTCCTCCGTGCCGCTTCCAGAGCCCATCAAGCTGAGTGCGAGCACGGCTTCGGGCGAGCGCAGGGCGCGGAAGATCTCTTTGTTCTCGCGCAAGGAGCCCTCGCAGACTGCGGAGCTTCCCTCGCGGCCATCCATCTCCGACGAAGAGTGGCAGCAGATCACGATGACGGGATCTGTCGCGGACTATGACGACAACCCGTTCCTGGGCCACGACGGCAGCGGGAGTCCCCTCGTGCGTGCTTTCCGCGGCCACCGCGCCCGTGCTGACGCGACCCACCCACAGCCGCCGCTGCAGGCGAAAACGCGACGGAGGACTGCACGGACGCATCTCGAGGATCGCGAGCACGTTCCGGTCGTCCACCCTGGGCCCCGCCAACACCACCCTAGACACGTCAGTCTCGGCCGGCGCGACGCCGCGCTCGCCAGCACCCGCCCGAGCGTCACGCTGTCCGCGTCCCCGCGCCAAGCGCCGACTCGGCGAGCGCAGTCTGCGGCGCACCAGCGGCACCGTCGTGTCCGAGGCGGGCTCCGCCCTGGGCGTGCGCGTGGTCCAGTCCCGCTGCGCAGTCGGCCTCGGGGGGGACACTGATGATGATGACGACGAAGACGCCGGGTCGATGACGCATTCGAACGCGTCGACGAGCACGCTGCAAGCTGTGCCGGCGCCCTCGTCTGGCTCGAGGAGGGAGAGCCGGCTGGCATGCCGCCCCCGAGACAAGGAGGAGGACTTTGCGCTGGAGACGACGTCCCAGATCGACCATGTGCGCACCCACCTTTCTGATATCACCGAGGGAGATGGTTCGGAGGCTTCGCAGAGCCAGAGGAACTCGCGCGTCTCGACGGAGGAGACGGTCACTGCCGTGGATGATGATGATAGGATCAAGTTAGAGCATCGATGATCGTAGGGGTGCTTGTGATTTCTTTTGGACTTTCGGATTCTGGTTTTCGGCTCACGTAGTTGCGTCCTGTATGTATGCTCCGCTTATTTGTAGTCTTGACAGCCCTGTTTAATAACAATAGAGCCTCGTCGTCCCTACCATGCAATAGTATCAGAGGAACTTACATAACCATAACCCTACTATACGGCAGCACTTGTCGTCCTCCACCACCCCACCACCAACACCACCAATCCCGCAGGTCCTATTCCTCCCCCATCTGCCGTCGGGCTGGCACGCGACCGAAGCGATCAAATCCGAGGAGGACCGTGTGGTGATCCGCATTGAATGACTGGGATCGCAGGCATGACGATGGACGAGACGCTCTACGCCGTCTCGGAGAAGGTGCAGAACTTTGCGGTCATCTATCTCGCGATATCACGGAGGTGCCGGACTCAACAAGGTGCGTTTCGTGGTGGAGGGTCTCGTGCGGTGAGGTGCAGGTGGGCGCTGACGAGGGGCGGTAGATGTACGAGTTGTACGATCCCTGCAC